AGTCCCCAGACGTGAATTTTAAAAAATGATCTACTCTCGGCAAAAGTGCTCCAGTCTTGTGTCAGAATTTGCCCATGGACTATCTCCAGAGAAGACCCTTTTGGGCCTCTGCCTCTACCTATCCAACTACCCATCCAGTGTCAACAGACGGCGCTTGGGGAAGACCAGAGCTTTTCAAGGCCTTGTCCTCCATCCTCCATATTTAAAGTTGCCAATCTCCAGGTGGTGGCTGGAGAGCTCCTGGGATTACAATTGATCTGCAGGGGACAGAGATCAGTTCCCCTGCAGAAAATGGCCGCTTCGGAAGGTGGACTCCGTGGCCTTCTACCCCACTGAGGTCCCTCCCCGCCCCAAACCCCGATCTCCTGAGGCTCCACCCCCCAAATCTCCAGGAATTTCCCAACCCAGAGCTGGCAACCCTGTGACCGTATTGCTCTAAGCAGGCACTCAGTTCTCATTCCTTTTATATCTCCTCAGGGCAAACATGGACTTGTGGCTCTTTCTGTCTCTCTGCGGGGCCCTGCTCGCACCTTTGGCTGCCGGTAAGGTCACAGACTAGAGAATAAGTAGCAGGAGAAACCATTCAGCATTATCTGCCACTGTTGCAAACTTTTTTAAAAGCGCAGGTAGTCGTTCTGGTGTGTTTTCTGTGTTGCTTAAAAAAAATATCCAAATTCTGCAGCTTGACTTCATTAAAGTGACTTTGCATACTTTCCCTTCATTTGTTTTGCTAACCTAGGGAGTCTGGGAGATATGCAGTGATTCAGAACCTCATTCCCATAAGCTTTGTGCAGCCCCCTTTGGGTCGCCGAACTTCCAGTGAACAGATTTCCAAGCTCATCTATCACAGGGACTAGAAACTTAATTTCACTCAACCTCCAGCCTGAAAACTGTCAGCCTCAAGCTGCTGACTTCTGTACCAAATTATATATTGAGTGCTCCACCAATCGCACTGGCTTCCAGTTGGGTACTGGATTCACTTCAAGCTGCTGGTTATGACCTTTAAAGGCCTATGCGGACTGGGACCAACAGATCTAAGGGACCGCCTCTCCCCATATATGTCCCGGAGAGCCTTGTGCCCTGCGGACCACCATCTGCTGGTTATCCCTGTCCCTGGGGACGTCCACTTAGCCTCAAGCAGGGCCAGGGCTTTTTCTGCCCTGGCCCCAGCCTGGTAGAACAAGCTCCCAATCGCGATGAGGGCCTTGTGAGACCTCGTACCCCCAGGCCTTCAAGTGAAAGGGTGGGCATCCCTCAGTTGGCCTCCCTGCTGCCGTTACTGGGTTTCTGCTATTGTAGCAGGAACTCCTTTGCATATTAGACGACACACCCCCTAACGTAGCCAATCCTCCAAGAGCTTACAGAGCTCTTCTTACAGGAGCTACTGTAAGCTTATGGAGGACTGGCTACAGTAGGGGTGTGTCGCCTAATATGCAAATGAGTACCTGCTACAAAAAGAGCCTCTTTTGAACTATGGTGCTGGAGAAGACTCTTGAGAGTCCCTTGGACTGCAAGAAGATCAAATCAGTCAATCCTAAAAGAAATCAACCCTGACTGTTCCCTAGAAGGCCAGATAATGAAACTGAAGCTCAAATACTTTGGCCACCAAATGAGAAGGGAGCACTGACTGGAGAAGACCCTGATGCTGGGAAAGATCAAAGGTCAAAGAAGACGGGGACGGCAAAGGATGAGATGGTTGGACAGTGTCATCGATGCAACGAACATGAAGTTGAAATTGAGCCAACTTCAGAGGACGGCGGAAGACAGGAGGGCCTGGCGGGAGCTGGTCCATGGGGTCGCGAAGAGTCGGACTCGACTGTGCGACTGAACAATAGAGGGAACACTGGCTACGCCCATCTTTTAACTGTTTTTATTGCTTAATATTTATTTTGATTGCTTACTGTTTGTAGATTATTGTCGCAAGCCACCCTGAGCCCGTTTGCGGGAAGGGTGGGATCCAAATAAGTAAATAAAAATAAATACCAGTGATGGTCAGGGAGGTCCTTTAACGGCCCTTCTCCCCATCCTGTGAATATGGCGAGCTGCCCTGCCCAGAGGTAGATCATTAGACCATCTGGGTCTCTGTAGTCGTTTCGAAGAGGCAGAAACTTTCTCATGTGCAGCTCCCATGTCCAGCATTCCTGCCAGGTGTCTTATAGATAAATTCATGAAGCAGCCTTAGACTGAATCAGACCATCGGCACATCAGTGTCAGGACTGTCCACTCGGTCTGGCTGCGGCTATCCAGGTAGAAGTCTTTCGTATCACCCTCCTTCTGACCCTTTCCACTGGAGATTCTGGGTACTGAACCTGAGACCATCGGCATGCCTCAGAGATGCTCCACCACTGAGCCACAGCCTCTCTGTTTGAACTGGGAATGGCAAGGATTGAACCCAAGACCTTCTGCGTGCAGGGTGGTGTGCTGCTGGGCCGCAAGCCCTCCCCGCAAGTGGCCCCAGAAATGTCCTTCGTAAGGGTTGTGCTTTCAGAATGCAGCCAATGGGTTGGCATCTTTCATTCCCAAATGAACATATCAGATAGGGCTGAAGAAGAATTCCATTCTGTTCCGCTTAAGGAGTGCTCTTAAGGGGTCATTTATGGAGAAGCTCAAAGGAAGGCCAGGGTGATTGTTTTGTCCTGGAAGAAGGACCCGCCGGCTGGCTATCTCCATCTGCTCTTGGCCTTATCTCTCTTCCTTAGCAAGCTAGGAAATCATCAAGAACTGCCCCTCCCCATCCCTGCAGGTGTATCTCTCCCCCCATCACAGACTGGAAGCTAACAACGGAGGACAGATATCCCCATTCCTGCCCTCCTTGTGAACATGCCAGTGGCATCTGGCTGTCTGCTGTCTGTAGGCAGATGGAACACGACACAGGATGGAAAACAGTTCTGACTCTTTAAGACAGCTCTTTTATCTTTCCTAACTCAATTCATTCAAATTGCTGCTGGGAATTATGGCTATACTTCCCCAGTGCCTTACGCATTCAGAGGGCTTGCTAGAGCAGTATCTGACAAGGACTCGTGCTATTCCGGAACTCCTTTTATATGTGTAATCTGAAGCTGCCTCTTCGCATGACAAAGTCCTCCTGTTTCCTGGGGGACAACACGAGGGGGCTGCACCAGACGGAAGGTCTGTGCCTCCCAGAAGCACACTGGCTGTTTTCTGTCTGAGACCACAACACATAGGCAGAAGCGGTAGAGTTGCCACCCTCCAGGTGAGGCTTGGAGATCTCCTGATATTACAATCAAGCTCCATGTGACAGAGATGAGTTCCCCCTGGAGAAAATGGCTGCTTTGGTGGGTGGAGTCTGTGGCGTGGTACCTGCTGAGGTCTCTCCCCTCCCCAAACCCCTCCCTCCCCGGATTCCACCCCCCAAATCTCCAGGTATTTCCCCACACAGAACTGGGAACCCTAGGTGGCTTCGGCCTCTCTCCGCACACTGTTTTTGCATCCACAAACCACCCCACAAAGCCACATTTGGCTGTGTTGTAAAAGCCGTGTTATTTATACGGCTACATGTAAGTTTCACAACAGAGCCAGAAGCAGTCTGAGGATGTGAATGCAGCCTGGGACATTCCCCTGTAAGTTAAATCACTAGTTGACCTTGATTCATCTTAGTGGGCACCAGTGTTCCCTCTAAGCTGAGTTTAGTGTGAGCTAGCTCACAGTTTTTTACCCTCTGGGTCACACACTGTTGTCTGCGCTCAGGAAGGATGGCTCCGAGCACACTGATTGATGCAGTAGCCAAATCACTCCTTCACAACTTTATTGCCAGTAGTTCACAAAGTAGATTTTTTGCTCACAAGACTCCACAGCTTAGAGGGAGGATTGCTGGGCACGTTCGTAATATGTTTGCCGGTTGGATGCTCAGACACAGTGAGATCTTTCTGAGTGCAAAACGAAAACCCCATAAGAAGTGGGATTAAAACTGAATGAGCTTTTTAGGGCTTTTCTCCACATGTTATTTCATCGCTTGTGTGCTTGTATTGTGCTGTTATTGGTTTTTCCCTTTTCTGCCTGCTTCTCGCTCCCTCTCGTGTTTGCTTCGATATTTCACCTCTATCACTGGCTTCTTCCAGAGCCCTTTAAAATTGCAGCGGAATAAGGTGATGCAGTCTTGGAATATTGAAATGACCACTAGAGGGAGCAAGATACCTGTAGAAAAGGGGGAAAACATTAATGGAAGATAAACTCATAAGCAAGAAAAATGAGACATGCGGAAAAGCCCTTAGGAAGATATGCCCCAGGTAGGTCTTGGCCAAACACCACACACACACACACACACACACAAACACAAAATTGGTTCAAGATACCTCAATCAGGGCTGTCTCCCTGACCCAAATTCTTGCTGGCTACCAGTTTTAGGCTCTGCAGGAGGGCATTTACTCAAAGCAAGCATGTGAGAAAACAAAAACAAATTACGACAGGCTGAAGCCAATGTTCCCTCTAAGCTATGGAGCCTTGTGAGCAAAAATTCTACTTTGTGAGCTACTGGTATTAAAATTGTGCGCGAGCGATTTGGCTGCTGCATAAATTAATTGGCTCTGGAGCCCTCCTTCCTGAGCCAAGACAAAAATGTGTGAGGCAGAGGCTAAAAAACTGAGCTAGCTCACACTAACTCAGCTTAGAGGGGACACTGGCTGAAGCATACGTTAAAGAAAGGTTTTGTTTCCTGCTGTCTGAATACAGATTAAGATGCCTTATACCAAGTCAGACCCTTGGTCTGTCTTTCTTCTAATGGTCTTCTCTGACCGGCAGTGGTTCTCACGTACATGAAACTGCCTTCTTTATTCAGACCCTGGGTCCATCAAGGTCAGTATTGCCTACTCAGGCTGGCAGCAGCTCTCCATGTTCTCAAGCAGAAGTCTTTCCGGTCACCTGCTACCTGAACCTTTTTCAACTGGAGATTCCGGGGTTTGAACCCGGGACCTTGTCCATCCACAGCAGATGCTCTACCACTGAACTGTGCCCCCTCCCCAAAGAACTATCCCCGTCTCTCTCTAGAAATATCCATCCATGATTGAAGCCCAGGGTGCTTTTGCCCAGGATTCTGTCCAGAGAGGAGCAGTCATACAAAATCTCGTGCAAACTCTGGATTTATCCAAACTGGGAGATGCATTTAGGGTTGCCAGTTCCAGGTTGGAACATAACTGGAGATTTTGGGGGTGGGGCCTGGGGAGGGGAGGGTTTGGGTATGGGAGGAACCTCAGCAGGATGTATTGCCATGGAGTCCACCCTCCAAAGCAGCCATTTTCACCAGGGAAACTGATCTCCATCAATTGGAGATCAGTTGTCATTGCAGGAGATCCCCAGGCCCCACGTGGAAATGGAGAACTGGAGAAGCCTTCTACGGGATTTCTTGACTTGTGCATTGTAGCATTGTGAGCTTTGGTTCCAGGAGAAACCCTCTGCCTGAAGAATTTCTCAAAACACGCAACTTTTGCCTGGGAGGCGTGTTGCGTGACGTTTGCTGCATCCCTTTTCTGAAAGCAAGACAGCCAACAACGTTGAATCCTAACTGCATATTCGTCTCTGTAGCTGTGGACATTCCTACAAGATTTATATTCTCATATTCATTTGTATATTTTTAATGTCCTTGTTGTCAGTGCACTATAATCTCAATAGGTTTCACTAGGGTCTTTGTTGTTGTTGTTGTTGTTGTTGTTCAGTCACACAGTCGAGTCCGACTCTTCGCGACCCCATGGACCAGATCATGCCAGGCCTTCCTGTCTTCCGCCGTCCTCTGAAGTTTGCTCAACTTCATGTTCGTTGCATCAATGACACTGTCTAACCATCTCATCCTTTGCCGTCCCCATCTTCTTTGACCTTCAATCTTTCCCAGCATCAGGGTCTTCTACAGTGAGTGTTCCCTTCTCATTGGGTGGCCAAAGTATTTGAGCTTCAGTTTCATTATCTGGCCTTCCAGGGAACAGTCAGGGTTGATTTCTTTTAGGATTGACTGATTTGTTCTTCTTGCAGTCCAAGGGACTCTCAAGAGTCTTCTCCAGCACCATAGTTCAAAAGAATCTATTCTTCGGCGCTCGGCCTTCCTTATAGTCCAACTCTCGCAGCCATACATGACTACTGGGAATACCATTGCTTTGACCATGCGGACTTTTGTTGGCAGGGTGATGTCTCTACTTTTTATCATGCTGTTGAGGTTCGCCATTGCTTTCCTCCCAAGGAGCAGGCGTCTTTTAATTTCATGGCTGCTGTCACAGTCTGCGGTGATCTGGGATCGCAGGAACGTGAAGTCTGTCACTACTTCCACGACTTCCCCTTCTATTTGCCAAGGAGTGATGGGGCCGGATGCCATGATCTTTGTTTTTTTGATGTTGAGCTAGGGTCTTTACTGTATATTATAAGTATATGATTTAATCGAATAAGGAAGTTATAGTAGCGTATCAGAACTGTGTGTTTTGTTTCAACACGGTGATTTTCCACGTTTACCCCGCCTGGAAATTGGCAACCCTATGCCATGTCAAGCCCATCCCTTTCATTTCAGCGTCCATGTTAGGGGTTGGATTTGGGATTATCTGTCTCCATCCATCACCTCTGTGTGTCCATCTCTTTCAGAACCAGGTAGCGAACCGACGCACGACCCCTTCAATTATGGTGAGTTAGCTAAGCTTATTTGTAATGTCATTGGTCATTGCGAATGGTGGGCATTCACAGGGACTGTATGTCGAATTTTCCAGGCTTTTCCAGGTTCTCAGTAGCTGTGCTGGTCCAAACAAAAATCAAGAAATAACAGTCCAGTGGGTGAATGCAACAGAACAAATCTCACCCCACGGGGTGTTTCTGGTCAGGGAACTGATGCAGAAGCAATTCCACTGGACACTCCTGATCCGAATCTGTCCCTCGCATGCCTGGGAATTTGAGTTCATGGAAGGGAAGTTGCAGTTCATGTCTGATCGAACCCGGATCCCATGACCTGAAGTCTTTGTAACGCACAGTCAGGCCCTCACTGTTTGTGACCTTGGGTGGGTCAGTTTCTCTTGGTATGTCCTCTTGGCACGTGCTGGGGCTGGGGGCAGAGCTGGCTGTGCAGACTGATAAAGAAGCACATGGCTGCCTGGCACTGTGCTGGCCCTGGTCGCTTCTGGGGGCGGGCAGTGGAGGAGGGCAGAGGGAGCCCCGGGAGAGGGGGCACTGCAGGTTCGGTAGGGGGCACCGCCCCTACCACCTAGCTGTGGCCCTGGTTATTCTGCATTTGTATCACTCCTGTTCATTCCTGCAGGGGACAATTCTTTTCCTGAATTCCACTTGCACTGGGCCCCTCTGACAGTAAAAAGTTGTGCACGCTTGGCTAGGGGTTTTTTGGGCCTGGTTTTAACTTCACAAAACAAAACTTCAAGCAGCGTTCTCTGTCCAAGCGTGGCGTAGTGGCGAGAGTTTAAACTAGGATTCGGGAGACCCAGTTTTGAATCTCCACTCTGCCATGGAAGCTTGCTGAGTGACCATGAACCAGTTGTTCTCTCTCAGCCTCACCCACCTCACGGGGGGGGGATGTTGTGAGGATAAAACGGAGGAATGTGGGAAACGATGTTGTAAGCCACTTTTGGGTCCCTCCACTGGGGAGAAAGGCAAAGTATAAATGAAGGCAATAAACAGGGGTCATTTCATAGAAAAAGAGGTGCAGGAGCTCATTAGCATAACTCATTGGCATAACTTATTTGCATATGCCACACCCCCTGACATCACTGGAAGTGTGTCAGAAGGCAACACCCACCGCTCAGGCTCCACTGGACTCTTTTGGATTGCTAGCTACTGGGGGGGGGGGAACGTGCAGATCTGTCTTGGCAGAGGAGGGCGAGCTTGTACCTG